CTCTTCCAGTGCTCAATTCAGGTCACCCAGACTAAATCCAAGGTGCTCCAGAAGTCTGAGTTGGATTCGGACCCAGGGGCCTGTGAATACTGGAACCTGTGATTTGGGATGGGAGTAGTGAGGGAGTAGTACTCTTGCTCCCTCGACAGTTAAGATTGAGGTTCTCCGGGGAAAACCCTACTTCCTTAAGTACTCACACACACACACACACACACACACACACACACACACACCCCACTCCCTTTCCAGGATACACAAAGCTTAGTGAATGTAGCAGCTTTGGAAGAGTATACTATTCTTGCCTCCTTATGTGGATAAAGCCTGACGTTGTCTGCACCCTCCAAGGGTTAAGGAGGGGAAGAAATTGCACCTTGGGCCCTGGCTGCTGGAACTGGAAGCACTCAGAAAATTCCTGGGTAGCAGCCACCAGCTCCTAAGCCAGGAGTAAGAGCTTAGCACCAATGGTACCCATTGGAATGCATCATGTTGAAGGGGACTTCCGTTATTTGCAATAGTTGGTGTCCAGACACTAAGACAGAGGGACCTGGGCAAGCTATTGAACTTCTTTCCAGTTGCAAGATGGAACTAATGATGTGGCCACAAGGGGTTGTAATGGTGATGGTGGAACTGCTGAGCTGCTGATATGTAAAAGGTAAAGATGACAACAGTGAACTGTGGAAAACTAGAGCTGATTTGAAGTCACAGTTCAATAAGTATGCGGCCTAAGCTAAAGGCTCGCTTGCAAAAATTCTCTTAGCAGATACATGAATTAGAGCCTTGCTCTCACCCTCCTGGCTGAGTAAAGTCATTCAAGATGGAATTTACTGAACACCAACTATATGTCACTTGTGCATGGTTGAACCAGACTTAATGGTGAGTGGACAGAAATGTTTCCCCTCTCACACAGCACTTATTGTACAGGGAATGACAGAATCGGAACAAAAATAATGACCCAGGGACCAGCAGTTAGCGTAATGGCTATGTTGCTGGACTGCCAGGTGTGTGTGTGTGTGTGTGTGTGTGTGTGTGTGTGTGCCCAAGCTCCCGAGGGG